AAAGAAGCTTATTCGAACATCTCCGAGGGTGAGATATTACCTGTAATCAGTTTCTTACTGTATTAGGTTTAGACTTGTGTGTTCTTGCTTTATTTTGCTTAGTGACTTACTTTGTTCTGTCTGTTATTACTTGAAGCCACTTGAATCCTATTTTTTATACTTAATAAAATCACTTTTGTTTATTAATGAACCCAGAGTAAGTGATTAATACCTGGGGGAGCAAACAGCTGTGCATATCTCTCGATCAGTGTTATAGAGGGCGAACAATTCATGAGTTTACCCAGTATAAACTTTATACAGAGTAAAATGGATTTATTTGGGGTTTGGATCCCATTGGGAGCTGGGTGTCTGGGTGCTGGAGATAGGAAACCTGCTGAGCAGTTTTTAGTTAAAAACTGCTTTGGGGGCATGGACCAGATCTGGGTCTGTGTTGCAGCAGACTAGTGTGTCTGGCTCAATAAGGCAGGGTTCTGGAGTCCCAAGCTGGCAGGGAAAACAGGCTCAGAGGTAATTGCAGCACGTCAGGTGACAGTCCCAAGGGGATCTCTGTGACCGAACCCATCACAAATGGTATCAACACCATTACTTTTATCATTCAAACTTGTGATCTCATAAAAAAAGACACCACAGCAGGTGTGATTGATAAGACTCATTTTTCCATACAGCCCTGTTGACTGACAATAATTATGCTACTAGTTCTTAATTCTTTACTGATTGTGTCCCATATAAGCCTTCCCACAATTTTCCTGGCAGTGATGCCAGGCTCAGTGGTCTGCTGTTATCCCTAGTTTATTCTGTTTAAGCATTTGATATGACTCTAGCCTTCCCCCCCCCCCCCCGCCCTCTGGAACCTCCCCACAGTTTCAAGCTCTTCGGGGCAGCAACTGTCTTTTTGTTCTGTGTCTGTACAGCACCTAGCACAATAGAGCCCTGGTCAATGACTAGGGCTACTAGGCAGCATGGTAATAAATTTAATAGGAAGATTTGTTAAAAATCAACAATAGTTCAGAGAATTGGCCAATTCTCTTAATACCATTGGGTGCAAGTGATCAAATTTAACTTGAATAGTTGCTGTTTAGTGTCCTCCCTAGTTATTGATGACATAGGAAGAATTTCCTTCTCATGTTAATATCACAGAGGTCCAGCCTTTCCCTCCTGCCCACGCAGCCAAAAATCTCATCACATCTTGACTGTTCAAACCTCCTCCTTTCTGGCTTTGGCTACTGCAGCCCTACTTCCCTCAAGTTTACTCAGAAGGCTGCTGCTAAGATCATCTTTCTGGCTTGTGGGTCTGAGCTTGTCAGCCCCGAGTCCCCCCGCAGGTTCCCCCTTCACCTTCCCATCAAACGTGAGCTTGCTGGACAAGATGCTCCAAGGTATTTAGACATCCAACCACCACTGAAATCAGTGGAAGTTAGATGTCTAAATATCTTCAAGGATCTGGGCCCTTGTCTTTACCCATAAGGCCCCTCAGCTTAGCGCTCCCCTGCAACCTAGATACTCTAGTAACCTAGTGTGACACTGATCTCCATCTTTACTCCACCTGCATTCTCAACCTTTCCTGCCCACCATCAGTTTTTCCCTTACATAGCTCTGTGCTTTCTCCCATGCTGCAGCTCCTTACGCATGGGATAAAATCCATCAGCCACTATCTTATTCTCCTCTAAATCCCTCCTTATGTTTGCCTCCTCCTTGACACCTACAGAACTCTGTGTGCACAGCTACCCAGCTGTCAAGGGGTGAGGGGTCCTCTTCCCCTTCCTTCCCCTATCCTCATTCCCCCATCTCACCCTCTGTCCCCTAAGTACAGAACCGCTTCCCCATTACCACACATCATTAACAATTCTCCCTGCCACTGTTTGCAGGTGTGTTCTGTCCCCATCCCCTCTTCTTAGCATGGGAGCTCACTGAGGCATGGCCTGACTGTGCCCCCACAGCACAGGAAGCAGGGGTGGAAGCTTCCCCTCCCAGACTGCCATCGAACTAGGACAGCCGCTAGGGTCTGTGGAGTTCTTGGGCAGAGCCATTCCAGTGGGGGGTACTGTGGGGCCTGTAGCCAGGGCCCCCAAGGTGTGTGTGTGTGTGTGTGTCTTTAGCAGGAGAGAAGCCTTTGCCCCAGACCACCAATGTGGGGTTGGTGGGGTCTATGCCACGTAAGTGCGGCAGGGGCCTTGGGCACAGTCTCACGCACTATAGGGTCTGTGTCCCATAGGCTGGCAGGAGCCTTGGACACCCCCGGGATCCGTGCCCCCTAGGTGGGCATGGGCCTTGGACACAGCCCCCCGCCCAAGGGTGGGGTCCCTGCTCCCTAGGTGCGGTAGGGGCCTTGGACCCCCCTCACCCCAGCGCGGGG